ATAGCGATCAAATAAGACGACACACGGCTTCTGTTACTCAGAATTTCATACTTACAAATGAGTGCATAAGCACGAAACACCGAGTAACAGAAACCATGTGTCGTCTTGTTTGATCGCTACCTACTGTATTAAGCTCTGCACATGTGTATTGAGCACTATTCAACAGTATCGGCTACTTCCTCACATTTAGATACACACACACACACACTGTAGTTTCCTGAAATGTATAGAAGTGATCCTCAAAGTGATAAACCCTACTTTAGTGGCAGTGGAAATGATGTCTAAAAGAACTTCAGGCTCTTACAGGATTTGAATCCATGACCTATGTGGTTCAAATCCTGTATGGGCCTGGATTTTTTTCAAGCCTTATTTCCACTACTACATAAGTGGGGTTTATCACTGCAAGGCTGTGCTCTAGCAGCACCCAGTGGCCCCTGGCGCCTTACTTTTGCTCTTGGGCGACTCAGGAATTTTAGTTTTTTCATACAAGGCATCTGCTGGGCACCCTAGATTTCACAGTTTCAGAACACAGGGCTCCTTTCAATTTTCCTTAGAGCACAGCCTTGTACTGTGAGGATTGCTTTCATACATTTCAATATTCTTATTAATAAAAATTAATGAGGATACCATTTGCTTTAATAGGAGTACATTATCTGTACCTACCACAAAACAATGTCAATTCTATGTCTTCATTTATTCTTACATTTGTTGAATACTTTATAAATTTATTACACTTCTTTGACTGAAATTTTTCATTTACTCCTAACTGTTACATACCAGAAATACACCGTGCCATTGAGATAAAAAGAACTATCTTAATAAAATGCTGCAAACTATCTCAATGACATCCACATTATTTTAAAAAGTTTTGCGTATGTCTTTTGTATTTGCTGTACATATAGTTTATTTATTCATTCTATGTGTCACTGTGTATGTAGAAGTCTGGTCATCAATGCCTTAATCCACAACGGTAAAACATTCTCTCCACCGTTTACAGCACCAACTACACTTAACTATATTTACTTTTTCTTTAAGGACATCACACAATAATTTTTTAACTACTCTGCCAACTTCTCCACGTCTATTCTTTACACTGAGTACATATTTTAAATCTGACAATGTTTTCATCACCTGAAAACTAATCTACATGAGAATACTTATTTACTGATTGGTTTGTGTTGCTCTTCTGACTGAACTGAAACCACTGTGTGCGTTTCGTCTGTCTGACTGATTTCTTACAAAGGAAATATGAATGTTTACGAGTTAAACTTCATCTATGCCAATCAATGTAACAGTTATGTCTGAGAAATTTTTTCTCTAAAGACCTAATAAGTAATCGATTGTTCCCAAAGTGGTAAAAGTTCCTTAAACGATGTGGATTAGTCAATTCAGAGTTCTGACATCGACGTTTTTTATCAAAATAATATAAAGAAGAAAAAAATAACTACATCCAGTTAACCAAATTTACATCAGCAGCAATATTGCCTTTTGTACACCGTATATTAGTTAATGTTGGCATTTTGACCGAGTTTGGCAACAAATCATACTTTAAACCAAATATCAAATTGCAAATTTTAAATGACCTTCAGAACCATTATATTCAGGATAAGATGAAATCCAGTCCAGTCGGACCGCAATCACGAGCAAAGAATCCATTCTCGTGCAACGTTACCATAAATTCATGACGTAATTGGTAATATTTGGGAGGAAAATAAAATGTGGTTCGGTTAAACGAATACTGTGATGGATATCGGTTATAGAAAGGAATAAGTAAATAAACCTTACCAAGTCTTATGGATTTGTCACTAAAACTGATGATCCCAGAGAACGCCAATGCATCTGTTCTCCCATATTCCACGTCAGTTGTTGTCGAGGGGTAAGTTGGATAGCTTGCCGCTCGAGCTGTTGGAAAAGGTTGCGGTTGATACGAGAAATTCCCGGGCGCATTCTCTGGTTTTCCACCACCAACAGCCGATTCGTAAGACGGCGGAGGAGCTGTAGGCGCTACAGGAGGGTAAGCTGCATTGTGTGGCACCGTTTCAATCGGCGGAGGATAAGCAGCTTGGTTTGATGATGGAGGGTAGCTCGCGGAAGAGCCATAGTTGTACATGGGCGGCTGACTGGGGTATGGCGGTTGATTCCACGATGGATTTGTCGTCATAGTGGCTTCCCTGGTCAGTTACTTTCGCACGATCAAGAAAAATAAGAATGAAGCTTCGAAGAATAAGAAAGTAAAAACAGAATTGCTGAAATCTGCACGCTGTAAGGCAGAATGTACTGCAGCTGTTATACGTGTTTTTCCGCTTACCGTTCTCTTTTTAGATCGTGACTCAGGTCACGTGGTTCAAATGACGTCATAAATGTCTTGATTGTTCTCCTTTCCTTTTGACAGTATGGTTAGGCGATTTTGTCTTTAAAAAAGTCTTTCTCTTTCGTTTAACAAAGAGGATTCTTAGGAATCAGCTAAAAAGTGTTGTTTGCTTTGTCACGATTGTGGAAAAAAGACATTTTAAAATCTTCCACGAGGAATCGACTCTTCAGATTTTCGCACTGAACTCATTCATGGCCACCTTTCTCTTTCGATTTGCACACAGGATACTATTCATGTGGCAGATCGTAACAGCAGAGCACGTGGTTTCTATTCGGCGTTTAGCGAATTGTACGGTAGCCATTTCTCTTCTCAGCTGTTGGGTTTTGGAGAGCTTATACCCAAATTCTTATTTGTTTCCCAGGGCATTTTGTTTCCATAAAGATAAGTCATTTTCCAATTTCACGGGTTCTTT